TGACTGGAAAGGGGGAGCACAACATTAACTGTTGAATTCTGCGCGTCTCGCTCGCAATTAGTTTAATTGTGTTATTGTTGTTAAAAACGGATGAACGGTGAGATTTCCATTCCCCGCGGCTGCCCGACGCGAGGGGGTGAAGAGTGTCGCCGTTCGTGGTTTGGCCACTGTCGAAAAAGCACAGTCGACTTGAGTTAACTTTTCAGCAGATGATACCTTTACTTTAAATAACACACAAGCCTAATTTCTATGTGTTTTATATAAATTTCATCACAATCAGTGAAGTAGGATCATACTGCTACTGAGGAAAGGACCAGACTAGTATCATCTGCTTCCATAAACGTTCCTTACATGGACATTTTTAAAAATTTACAGTGAAATGGCGTTTGAACGCGATGGATGTGTTATTTGGGTTGCCCTGGATTGGCCGATGAAAGCGACGTGCAAGACGGAGAAGCAGCGACACTGCCGGACCGGCCTCCCACTCGTTGCATTTCGAGCCAAATGGGAGCGACAATGGAGCACCGCAGCCTACCACATCGAGTCACTTTCTCTTTCTTTCTCTCTCTCCTTCTTTCCTTTCTCCTCGCCCATCCCAGGAATGACCTCTCTCATCCCGACACTGCACCGAAAGTCGCCGGGTCCCGGCGGCCGAGCGGTCAACGGCACCGCGCCGCGGACCGGGAGGTCGCGGGTTCAAAACCACCCCGGCGGGGGTGGTTTTTCTTTTTCGACTAGTCGAGCGATTTTGAGCATTTGAAATTTGCAGCGAGACAGACGGACAGACAGACATACCAAAAAGTGCGTGCGGTGCGGGGCTTAATTGTTAGATTAGCACTTCCATTAAGTCCCGGGCCAGCAGCACGAGGCCACTACTCGAACTTGCGTACGCCCTGCCTAGGCAGTGCCGTGGCAGAGACTTGCCAGTGCCTTGCCTACCCACAGGGCGACCCCGGGGTCAGAGCAGCGAGGAGGGGGAGGGGACACTCGCGGAGAAAACGGGTCCACGAACAAGCTCTTCTACTCAAGTCAGTAAGGTCGCTGTGCCGAGGCTCTGTCCACGGGGATTGGCGGACAGGAGAGAGAAAGAGAGAGAGATCGACAGGATTGTAAAAGTAAAGTCAAAACAAATCAAAATATTTGTTTTAGTTTGCCTGTAGGGTGCTTTGTTAGTCGTCATCACCAAAGGGAATCGACTGAATTTCAGTCTTTTTAGTCGAATTTTCTGACAGTGTGGTGGCGAGCGGATCGAGAGAGGATCGTGAGCGCAGAGGATCGGGAAGGCATGTCCGGTGGGAGGGAGGGCCTTGCAGTGTAGGCCGAGCCGCGCGAGGAGCCACGGCCCAACGGGTAATGGGCAAAGTGTTTCCGATATCCACTCGGCTCGTGTGTCACTTGGCTCCAAATTGAAACAAAATTTTCATTCTAACTAGCATGACGTCACATTGGTTGAATGACGTTGAGTCACTTTGACCCCGATTTACGGTGTCGGTATGGGTCTCCTTCGTGAAAGCCCCGAGATGGTCCCCGTGGTGTTGGCGCCGAGTCCGGGCGTGTTGGGGCGTGAGAGCGTGGCGTGGCTGGAAGCGTGGCTAGGCTATCGGTACCTGGGCGTACCGCCAGGCGTACCGCCGCAGCCGTACCCGTGGGACTCTGGGCCTGCCGCCGGGCGCGCGCCACACCCGCGCCTGCGCCCCGCCCCGCCCCGCCCCGCCACGCTCCGCGGCCCAGCAGCGCCGCTTTTCCAGCCAAGCACAGCGACCTCGGCGTGGACCTCGCGGCCGCGCGACGCGTCTCCAGTCGGAAAAGTGAGCGAGTCGTGACACTGTAAACAAAGCATGCCGAGTTTTGGCGGTGGGGATGATGAGATGGTGACCCGCCGTGACCCGCGAACGAAACACAGGTGTCTGCTGCCGGGCCTGCCGGGCCTAGAGAGCGCCGTGCTGGGTAGGCAGGCCAGCGCGACGCTCCTGCGTAGCGGGCCAGTCTGCCCTCACGGCGCGCACGCCGCCAGAAGACCGGTGGAGGCGGCCAAAACTCGAGACGCGTTTTGAGCTCCAGCGTCGCTAAATGGGACTCGAACCGAACGTGTGACCCCACCAATGGATTCCTCGTTCGGAGAGCAATCCATTGGTGGGGTCACACGTTCGGTTCGAGTCCCATTTAGCGACTTTGGAGCTCAGAACGCGTCTGGAGTTTTGGCCGCCCCCACCCCCACTGTGCTCCGTCCTTGTCTTCGGCGTGCCTTCGCCGGGCCGAGCGTCGTCTTGTCTCTGTTTTTAAGTTGCGATGCACGATGCGCCGCGTGTGTGCGAGTGTGTGCGCATGTGTGTGTATGTGTGTTTGTGTGCCGACCAGTCCCGGGCCCCATTGTTCGAGGCAGGAAGTCAGTCTCTGTCTATCTCTCTCCTATCCCCTCCAAGTCTGTGCGCCCGGCCCGCCCGGCCACGGCACGCCCTGCAACAGCTCATCGCGTTGCCCCATCGGACGGACAGACGGACAGACAGACAGACAGACAGAATGAGGCGGCCGAACGAAAGTCGCTGAAGATCCAGTGCATTATTTTGGGGACTTGCCCGGCGATGCTCCGCGCGCGAGGGACTTTACAGCAAAACGCGTGCACACGCCAGAGCCTCTCTCGCGCGTGGGGTATCGTCGGGCCGGCCGGGCTGCAGTAAGGAGGCGCTACCCGCCGGGCGCCTGGAAATAATCATTTTGATCGTTTCAGTCAATTTTTAGTAAGCCGCGGGAAAATAAAGAAATTTAATTTTAATCCCTTCTGGAAATCTGAACTAATTTTAAAATTTTAGGCTATTGTGTGGACATGGTCATGCGAAAGTTTTGAAATTTTGGTTTTGAAAGTGGTATGGAAAAGTGATGGAAAATCCTGGAGAGAAATGGCGGGTACGTACGCGAGGGTGAAATCCGCGCGCGGCGTGGCGGCACCACCATAAGGAGGCGCTTGGAGATTACGCGGGCCACAGAGTCGTTTTGGTCGCTCTGTCTCTCTCGCACTGGCGGGGCGTGCCGTAGGGGTGCGAGAGAGGCGGGCCGCCCCTGGCCGGGCCTGGCCATGCCGCCCGGCTGGCTGGGGTGGGAGTCGCCTCGCCTCGCCCCGTGCCGCCCCGCGCTGCCGCGTCGCACTGCCCCCATGTTTATTGATTGTATAGAGCGAGGGAGAGGGCCGTCCCGCCGTCCCGGCCGGCTTGGAGCTGGAGATGCAAGGCGAGATAGACGGAGCGCGAAGCATGGCGCGAAGCATGGCGCGAAGCATGGCGCGAAGCATGGCGCGAAGCATGGCGCGAAGCATGGCGCGAAGCGCGACGGAGTGAACCGAGACGCCCTGCCACACCGCCGGATAGACTTTCGACGCGTCTGATCCGCCGGCCGCTGCACCGGCACGCACAGTGGGCCAGAAGACCGGCGGAGGCGGCCGAAACCCCGGACGCGTTTTGAGCTCCAGCGTCGCTAAGCAGGACTCGAACCGAACGTGTGACCCCACCAATGGATTGTTCTCCGAACGAGGAGTCCATTGGTGGGGTCACACGTTCGGTTCAAAACGCGTCCTGGCCAGGTTCTGATTTTCGGGTGGCGGCGCAGGTGCGGATCCAGGCCCCAAGGGGGGCTCTCTGAGAGTGTAGTTGAGAGCGAACTGGGTTGGGTCGGTGGCCAGGCTTTGCCTGCAATTCCTGCAATGTGCTCCAGAAATTCGCAACGCGGGGGGGGGGGGGGGGGGCAGCGGCCCGGCGTCGCTATGCAGCCCTTGCAGCCCTACCGACGACCCAGTGTGGAAAGGGTTGGCAACCTCACCTGCCTACTGGGCAATACCCTGAGGTTGGCTTGCCTGGTGGGCAGGCTGAGGTCGGCAACCCTTTCGACACTGGTGCATCGTGTGGCACGGTGGCAGCACTGCCTTGCCGGCTGCTCTGGGTGTCGCCGGCATAACTAAGAGGATCGACCGGCGAGAGGTCGAGAGGTACCTGCGGCCTGTCTCTCTCGCACCCGCAACAAGCGCCCCGAGAGGGCGGTAGAGCGAGAGAGAGGCGTGCTTGAGGGCGAGGGCGCCCTTGGCCGGCGAGTACCACGCCGGTACGTGGCTCGAGGGGTGGTCGGTCAAGTTGCGCTCGCCAAGTGGAGGCGTGGAGGCAGAGGGGCGCGCGTCGCTCTGTCTCGCTCGCACTCGCGGCCCCTCGAGGGTGCGAGAGAGACGGAGCGACGCCGCAGCACTGGGGGCCGGTCCTCCCTCATTTCGCAGCCCGGGCGAAGAGCGGAGCGAAGGTGACAGCGCCGCCACCCTACGGACTGTCTCTCTCGCACCTGCACGAGGCGCCCCGCGAGTGCGAGAGAGACAGAGCGACGCCCTGGGCCGCTCGGCACGACCCTCGTCGCGACGCGGGTTCGCGGGTCGAAACCCCGGTTCGAACCCCGGCGGGGGCGCTGAGCTGCTCAGGTATTCTTTCTCTGGGCTGCTGCGTGGCTGCGTGAGTCGCTGCGGTGTGAGCGGGCACTGTGCATTGCATAGCAACCGCCACACCCGCTCCCCACCACGCCCCGCCGCGCCCCGCCCCGCCCCGCCCCGCCCCGCCGCGGTCCGTCCTGGAACTGGTTTGGCCTGCATGCCGCTCTGCGCTCAGCCCCTCTCAGCTGACTGGGCACAGCGCTGCACCGCGCAGCACCGCGCACTGCAGCTGTGGGGGCCCCGGGGCCCTGCGCCCCGCCCCGCCCCGCCCCGCCCCGCTCCCGGGGTTGGGTCCAGGGCCCCGCAATAACAAAGCAAGCTGTGATCAGCACCAGTCGCCATCGATCAGCGAGGCGATATTTTGCACGAGGATTACAGTGTAGTGGGCCTGGACGAGATTCCAAGGGTTAGGGTTTCTAGACTGACCGCCACTTTGACATTCTATTCGATTAGAATGTTTGATAAATGCCGCGCAGTTTGAATTTCGAGTCCCCGGCCTGTTTTTCTTGCCCTAACGTCAACCCTTCTTTGTCTGTTGCAGAGGCCACTCAAACGACTGGGAGAGGACCTGGACGGTGATGGCTACGGGGACGGTCCGGCGGCCAAGTCAGGGAGGAACGGGCCTAACCATGGTCCGAACCACGGTCCGAACCTCGGCCCCAACCATGGTCCGAACCACGGACCGAACCATGGGCCAAACCATGGGCCAAACCACGGCCCGAACCACGCGCAGAACCATGGGCCAAACCACGGACCAAACCCTGGACCGAACCACGGTCCCAACAACGGTCCGAACCACGGGCCTAACCATGGACCAAACCCTCAGCCGCAGCAGCAGCCGGCGTCGGGGCAGCAACAGCAGCAACAACAGCAGCAGGGCGAGGCTCTCACCAAGTTCTCGGTGGAGATCGTCCAGCAGCTCGAGTTCACGACGTCGGCCGCCTCGTCGCAGCCGCAGCAGATCTCCACCAACGTGACCGTCAAGGCGCTCACCAACACGTCCGTCAAGAGCGACATCCTGCACCCCAGCCCCGCGGCCGCGGCCACCTCGCAGGCCTCCTCGCAGGCGAGCTCGGCGCCGCAGACGCCGCGGACGCCGAGGACGCCGTCGGGCGGGCCGCTGGTGGAGTGCAAACAGGAGCCCGGCGTCGGCGAGGAGTTCGTCGACCTGGAGCAGTGCGCCGCCGCCCTGGACCGCGAGCGCTCTAACGGCGCCTTCCCGTCCTTCCCCGGCTTCGGCGACCTCATGGGCGACGACACCGGCGACGAGGTCATCACCTCCGACGTGCTCAACGAACTCATGTCCGACATCGGCGAGTTCCCGCCCGACTTCATGAAGGACTTCGGCCTGGAGGACAACAAGCCGGCCGTGCTGCCGCTCAAGGAGGAGCCCGAGCAGGACAACAAGATGCTGGTGCAGCAGCAGCTCTTGCAGCAGAAGGCCATGCAGTTCGGCGCGCAGCCCGGCGCGCAGCCCGGCGCCCCGCAGAACGCGCAGAGCGCGCAGAACGCGCAGAACCCCCGCGCAGCCATGTTCCCTGTGTCCGGGCTGTCCGAGCTCAGCCCCGCCGCGCAGACGCTCAAGCAGATGGCCGAGCAGCACCAGAACAAGTACCAAGGCCCCGCCGGCTACCCCGGCCCCGGCCTCGGCCCCGCCTCCATGGGCGCCATGGGCACCATGGGCCCCATGCGCCAGCAGTACGCCGACTGGCCCGGCGACTTCTACAAGGGCGGGCCCCAGGGCGGACCGCAGGGTGGGCCGCAGGGCCCTGCGCAGGGCTACCCCAGGCCGCAGGGGCCCCCGAAGGGGCAGCAAGGATTCCGGCCGCAGTTCCCGTTCGGAAACCAGGGCGGCCAGGGCCCCGGGCAGCCGCCTGGCGGGCCTGGACACCAGCAACCTGGCCATCAACAACCTGGCCATCAACAACCCGGGCACCAGCAACCTGGTCATCAACAACCCGGACACCAGCAACCTGGACACCAGCAACCTGGACATCCGCAGCCTGGTCACCAACAACCTGGCCATCAACAACCTGGTCACCAGCAACCTGGCCATCAACAACCTGGTCACCAGCAACCTGGCCATCAACAACCAGGCCATCAGCAACCTGGCCATCAACAAGCAGGACACCAGCAGCCTGGACACCAACAACCCGGCCATCAACAACCCGGCCACCAACAACCCGGCCACCAACAACCCGGCCACCAACAACCAGGCCATCAGCAGCCAGGGCACCAGCAGGGACACCAGCAAGGACACCAGCAGGGACACCAGCAAGGCGGCGCGGGCCCGCAGTTCGGCCCTCGGCCAGGGCTGCAGATCTCCCAGGCGCAGCACATGCAGCTGCAGGTGCAGCAGCAGAGCTCCCACATCCAGGTTCGTACCGCCTTCGCCCCGTTAGGCCTTTGTGGCACTTTGAACGTACGCGCGCGGGGCGCGGCTCAGCTCGCGACTGGCGTGCACTGGCGTGCGTCGCGCGGGTTTCGCCAGCTTCGCCAGTGACCCGGCTAATTATGCAATTGGATGGTGGCACGCCTGCCTGCCTGTCCGCCCGCCGCGCCGCGCACGCCGCCACGCCGGCCGTTCCCACGCAGCTTTATATAATGTGCTGCGGTTGGCACGCGTGCTGCAGCGCTGCAGCGACTGTGGCGCCGCGGTGTCGCAACTTTGAACCGCGCGCCCCTGCCAGCCCCTGCACTGGTTGGCACTGTTTCCTTATTCATGCCGACTTCCGGCGAAATTGGCGGGAGATTTGGCGCCACGGGGCGGTCATCCTGTCGAGCCGGCCGGGCCCCGCGGCTTGGCCGGGCTTGGCTTTGGCGCGGCGCGGCGCGGCGCGGCTCGGCTCCCCCAGGTCATGACGAATTCAGCGCGCCGCACTTGCCGTGGCTCGGCCCGGCTCTGCCGTCGTGAACCTGGTTTGTGACGGCGGCGGCCCTCAATAATGTAGGGGTTCGGAACGGAGCGCCTCCTTCGTCTTGCCGGCCTTGTTCTCGGGAACCCCTTTGGCCGGGTTTGACGGTTTTTTCGGGGGCCGAAACTCTGCACGCGTTTTGAGCTCCAGAGCCGCTAAACAGGACTCGAAGCGAGCGTGTGACCCCACCAATGGATTCCTCGTGCGGAGAGCAATCCATTGGTGGGGTCACACGTTCGCTTCGAGTCCCATTTAGCGACTCTGGAGCTCACAACGCGTCCGTGATTTTGACCGCCTCTCTGACTGTGTGTCTGGTGTTGCAGGTGTCCGCCGGGCAGCACATGCAGTTGAACGCGGACATCAAGCCCAACGTGTCCGTCGCCTCGCAGCAGGGCATGTTCTTCAGCAACAGCCAGCAGCAGCAGCAACCTCAACCTCAGCAGCAGCCGTCGGGACAGCAGCAGGGTGACACCTTCACCATGTCGCAGTCGCAGACCATCAACTTCACCCAGCAGAACATCCGGCAGCGCGGCGGCAACGCCAGGCAGCAGCAGCAGGCCAACCAGCAGCCGCAGCAGCAGCCCCAGCAGACGGTGCCGCAGCAGCCCAGCCCAGTGCCCCAGCAGCAGCCGGCCCAGCCGCCAAACGGCCCCCAGTCGCAGCCCATGGCGCAGCCCATGGCGCAGCCCCAGCACCCCAAGATGATCCACCACCAGCAGCAACAGCAGCTCCTCCGGGCGCAGCAGGTAAGGCCACACCACTGGACAGTGCACGCTGGGACAGAAGACCGGTGGGGGCGGCCAAAACTCTAGACGCGCTTTGAGCTCCAGAGTCGCTGAATGGGACTCGAACCGAACGTGTGACCCCACCAATGGATTGCTCTTCGAACGAGGAATCCATTGGTGGGGTCACACGTTCGGTTCGAGTACCATTTAGCGACTCTGAAGCTCAAAACGCTTCTAGAGATTTGGCCGCCTCCACCGGTCTTCTGGTCCACTGTGCAGTGTGCATGGCGCACTCCACTTGGTCCTCTGAACCTAATGGAACTTCCCTGGTCTTGTGCTTACAGCAGGCAATGCAGCAGCAGGGCATGGTCCGCCCTCCGCCGCCCGAGTACAAGAGCCCCCAGCTCATGCAAGGCGGTCCGCAGGGCGGGCCTCAGGGCGTTCCCCAGGGCGGCCCCCAAGGCGTTCCCCAAGGCGTTCCACAGGGCGTTCCTCAAGGTGGCCCCCAGGGAATGCCCCAGCGCTTCCCCCAGCAGCGGCCAATGATGCGACCGCAGCAACAGGCCATGTACATGCAGCAGCAGCAGCAGCAGCGGGGGGCTGCACCGGGGCCCGCCCCGGGAGCCAACCCGGGACAGGGCCCCTACCCCAGGGGCGCAGGCCCCGGACACCCCCGGCAGCGAATGCCCGCAGGCATGTCCATGGGCATGCAGGGCGGCATGCAGGGCGGCATGGCCATGCCCATGGGGATGGGGATGCGACCCGGAGGCCCGGAGTGGCGCCTCATGATGATGCAGCAGCAGCAGGGGATGCAGGGCAACATGCCCATGCCCGGCGGCATGCCTGGCAACAACATGCCTGGAGGCATGCCCGGTAACAATATGCCTGGAGGGATGCCCGGCAACAACATGCCTGGAAATATGGGCCAAATGAGGCCAAACTTCCCGCATGGACCTCAACAGCACCAAAATCCCCATCAAGGTGAGTCTCTTACTCCTGAAGGTTTTGTGAGGCTACCTTCTTTAATCTTACTTTTCCCGATGGATTTTTAATGTTGTTCTCTCGTTGTTTTGAAGGTCTCAACCAGCAGCAAATGGTTCAGCACCAGCAGATTGTGCGAGGCTCTCACATGCAGATGATGGGTCAGCAGCAAGGGAACTCACAGGTTGGTGCACTGAAATTGACTTGGTATTCACTTGCAGAATTACAGTTTTGAGCATTCGCTTAATTCGTTTCTCACTCTTTGCAGATGCAAATGAGCATGCAGATGTCGCAGTCAGTTGCCATGAGTGTGAGCGGAGGTGCCCATGGGAGCCACCACACCGGATTTAGCAACAACTCCAACACGAATATCCCACCATCAGGACCAGCTGCCATCGGGTACCAAAACAGTCCTGGAAATCCAAATTATGGAAGCCCAGGCAACCCAAGTGCTTACGTCAATTCGCCGAGCAACCCCACTGCCAACACCCCATCATTTTGCAACTCACCTGGAAACCAACAGACATTTCTTAATAGCCCAGGGTTTGTGAACAGTCCGGGTCAGGGAGTGCCACCTGCTTATGTGAACAGTCCCGGTCCAACAAACAATCAAGGAGCCGGAAGCACACAAAACCAAGCGTCGGGTGGCTTCTGTGGAAGTCCCAGTACAACGAACAATCCTGGAACGCCCTCAGGTGCCACTTCAACCAACACCAATAGCAATGCGAACACGAACAATGACTTTGGCTTGGATTTCCTAGAAGGAGACCCTGACCTGTTCAGCTCCCTGGATTCTTCTGCTCCATTTAATCTACAGGATATTCTCCCATGAGTCTTTCATTGTATATTCTGGATATTATGTAGATTGTGTGCTGTAGGATGAGATTCTGGCCCTTAGTTTCCCTGATGCAGTGTCTGTTTCATCTGATCTACAGATCTGCAGATATTTTTTTTTCTTTAAAAGTCTATGTTAGATAAAATTAAAATACTAGTGTGTTGTTTTGCTGTTTGTTTTTATCTTTCAAGTTTTACGTGAAGAATATGTTTTGTTGTCCTTGATCTGGTGTGAGTGAATGAATGTATGTCTGAGTCAGTCTGAATGTGAGGAATGATGTTTTATAGTGCGTGTATTAATTCAAAATATTATTTATCCAGATGCCATGTACAAGTTCTTTACGTCTTTCTGCCTCTCTTGTTAAACATATCCTGTTCCCTATTTTTTTATTGCCACTTTTGTTTTTCTGAACAAGTATTTTAGTTTGTTACTGTTGTCAGTGTAGTGCCAGATATTCGTGAGCTCGTTGCTCTCTATAATATCCCACCCATTCACTGCTGGGCGGGGAGGCCACTCATATTTTACATAAAATCAGCAACAAATCAAAAAGTTACCAATGCAGCGAAGAAAAAATGTAGCTTGAGTATTGTAAACTATACTGGCATTGTTGCAAAAAGAAGGAAAACTGAGTGGCCACTCTGCACAACAAGGCAGCTTGTGATATTGCGTAGACATTAAGCTTCTTACCCCATCTAGATTATGCACTTGTTTGTATGAGCTCAAGACTTTATTTTGTACATTTACACCTGTTGTTGTCTCAATTTTTCTAAATACAGCCCATGCCTGATTTTTTTGTGGATTAAAATCAGTTACAAATGGCTTTGGCCAACTCACAGGAAATGAAAGCATCTTCACATGTTCAGTTCAAAGTATTGCGACTGTGCTTTGAGAAACAATGCATTCAAGGTACATGTGAGATACTTGTGTCTCTGGTGTGTCAAAAACTCATCAGCAGTGTGCTTTCCTGATTCTGATGACTTCTCTCATCTGTCTCAGAAAATTCTTAATTAAGATCATGGAGAAAGACCTTTTCCTAAGGCAATGCCAAAAATGCCAAAGGCTAACTTAAAGGGGAAGCAGATTTTGATTTGACATCATAGTTTTCCTACCTGTAGGCTGTAGGGCTTTTGTGAGGGTGGCAAAGTTTGGGTTCCACAGGAGGAAAGCTTATATTTACCTTTTTCTTTGCTCTCCATGTAAGACAAAAACTTATTGTTGGTTGACTTAATTTCTCAGTTTTGTTGCGCTCTGTATTGATTTTTTCCATTCGTCAGCAACCCTATGGTTTCATGATCCAGTGATATTCATTTTAGTAGTTGCTGAGGAGTAACTTGTGTCTAAATGGTGTTTCTTGAAAAGTTTCAAACCCAATTTAAGTGTAAATGTCTATAATTTAATGAAAGAATCAGAAAATCATAATCATAAGATTGTTACCAGCACTGTTGTGCTATTATTAGCTTCGAAATAAGAATATTAGTTATTTGAACATAAAGTGTGCAATGACATACATACCCTTTTTTTATTTTGTAAACTCGTCATATTTATTGTACTAAATTTTTTATTTTTACCGTTTAATTTTTTCGAAAGCAGTATTATGCCCTGCATCATGATATTTTACTCTCTGATGATGTGGCTGTTCAATTATGGTAATGATAGCTCATGCCTGATCAAGTTGTTTAATCCCATTGTGAGACATTGTACGCTAGGAGTAACTAATTTCACAATATTTGTTCTTGGTAGTGCATGCAAAAAAAGAAAAAAAAACAATCACAGTTGATCAACATCCAGGTATATGTCCCTTAATATTCCCACAATCAATGATGAAGTGTGCTCATTTTTTTGGAGAAAATTATCATCTTAATTGCTGTAGATACATATTGTTCGTGTGGATTTTATTTGCACATTCCAAAAAGACTGGTGTACTGTACATTCCTCATTCCATTGTTTTATGAACCTTGATGTTAATCTTCTCTGTATTGTTTTTGCTGAATGGAACTTGTCTAGTGACAGTCAAGTTTGGTTTCCCTCACATAGTGGAGTTGTTAGGATGGAGGATAGGATGACAAATATGGTCAACATGCATACTTGAGTCTTCTGTGTTTGCTGGGGCAATTAATAAAACTCAAAAAGCTGGTGCAGTTATTTGTAAACAAGGCACCTGTCTCTTTCTCTGAGGTTCAGTTTAAATAAAACTTGTTTTTAGGTTTTGTATAAATAGAGTGTATATTGACAAATCATGTTACTTTATAATTGCCATGTCTGTATACATTCATCAAACATGCCCATATTTATGTTACTTCACTTCAGTAGACTTACAATGAATTTTCAGACTTGTAAATGCCAAATTAGTTAGTAGGACCAAATAGACAGTAATCACATTCTATCTGTTACAACAGATGAGTGTAGCATATTTCATTGTCTATGATACTTGCCAATATGGAGGTTGGTTTAAACTTTTGTTTGTTCTATTAATAGTCCCTTGTACACTAAGAAGAAGCAAAGTATGTAGGTTTTCCAAAAATTCATTTTTGTCTATACCTACATTAAAATTTTGTACATTTACTTTACTGTTAAATGCAGTTTTCTTTTGCTTTGGTTACAGCCAAAACCTCCTTCCCCTGAAAGTTATCATAAATTTATGATATAAAATATACAAATTTAAATATACATTTTTAAATTTTTTTCCTTGAACAATTTGCCTTCCTCCCCATTACATATGGTACAGGTCACAACCACGTCTGGAAGCAACAGACTCACAGCAGCCATCTGCATGTGGCAACTCTCTGGGTACAACGAGTGGTAGAGATCGCTTGGCCTGACAAGAATTAGGTGTTTCAATGCTTTAAACTGACATTTAAGGAGCATGTCCACTATGTCACAACTTATTGGCCATTTAAACTCCGGGTCAACTTGAGTTCCCACACACATATATACCTCTTGAAGAGTGCGACTGTGTGCTGAGAGAAGAGACACCAAAAAGTCATACGGTAGTGTTCTGTTATCCTCAATAGTAAAACACTTAAGACCCCCAGTAAACCCAACAGGCACTTTAAGTGCTACCTCACTCAATGCCTCATCACAGGTTGACGACAAATCCATCTCAATGTGCAGCCTGCGCAATGAGGGCAGTGTGGTTGCAGTGTTCAGCAGTTCTTCATTGAAATAGCACATGGACAGCTCTTCTAGATGAGGGCCATGATACTTAAGAAATCGAATTGCCCAGCCATAGTCTGAGTTACTATAGAATAAAACACCATTCACTCGATAAATCTGAAATTTAAATTCATTTGTGAGAAGGCAATCAAAACAAAACAAGAAAGGAAAGCCAAGAGTACACATCTCATGCCTTGAGACTCACCTTAGTCTTAGTTTTCAGCAGCGTGGCTTTCATTTTGTCGGTCAGGATAGCCTCTATATTAAAGACTATCCTGCCAAGACAAGGGGCTCGAAGTAGAACTTTGAGACATTCAGAATGGACGCCAAGGCCTAAGTTCATCTCAGCAGAACGCCACACCGCAGGGTCTTTCACAAGTTTCCGCCAACGACGGTTTACCTCCCACAAATGCACCAAATCTTCTGCATCCAATAGTGAAAAAATGCGGAGTACCAGCTCTGGAGGCAGCACTTCCAATGGGTCTATGGCTGAAAGCAGTCAAAACAAAATAAGAAATTTTAAAAATAAGTATTGATTAGAATGGACAAACTAACAGAGAAGATGGAAGTCATCATACCTGCTGACGAGATTGAACTGACAGTTGGTAGAACATAATTGGCCTTGCATTCTTTCTGATGTGCAGCAACATGCTTTCGGAACCAAAATTCCAATCTATACTTCTTGCCACAAATGTCACACACTAAAGCCTTCTTGTTCTTCATTGTACAGACACACAATGACAACAAGCTGGCAGCGATGATGGGAAGAATACTCCCCTGAATAGAGGAGCTGAAAAGGTATCTACACGGTCAACGCCTGTCTCACACCGTGCTCTCCACTACTTTTCCAACGGACTTGCTGGAATTGACACTTGACATTTGACCACTTGACATTTGACGCAACTAGAAACTGCGAATAACGGCTTGTCTCGGTCTTGTCAGTGAGCAAAACAACAACATTCAACAGACGACTGCAGACGACGCATTCTCACAAAGCAGAAACAACAAGATCAACAACCACCGGGGTCGCCGCCGATGTGGGACTCTATCAAGAATGCAGCCGTTCCAAATCGTACTTTCAATTAATCTTCAATGAATTTCAATTTTAAAATTGTCTAAGTATGTATTTCTCTTTGTAGTTTCGTCCGACATTGTGTTTTTGTCATAAGTGACACTAGGCGTAGGTTAGGGTCACAAGTTATTTTCAGAGTTGCTGAAATTTCTTTCTTTGTTACAGTTGTTTTACCTTTCTTCACTGCTGAGATAATTCCTTCATCCTATCAAAATGTAGGTTTGAATGTGCTGCCCATACTTAAAGCACAGAGCCAAACCAAGGGGTCTGTACTTTACGTTTCCACTGCGATTTGCAATAATTCATTTGTTTCTACCATACAGGGCTTCATGGTGGTGTGAGGATGACTGGATGTATGTAAAGGCAGAAAATTTGACCGGAAATGAGTGTTTTGGCCGTCATGCTCTTGTGAGAGCCCCAAATGCCTTGGAGCGGCAATTTCAGAAGGACGTAAATCAACTCGGCTCTTTCGACCTCCTGCCGAATCTGGATCAGTTTCATGATTCTGAGGTAACTTATCGCTCAATCTTCATGAGTTACACTATGATTTTACATATAGCTGGCAAATCTTTTATTTCTTCAAGAGCTGAATTTGCATTAACAATTTTTGTGGCTGGTGCTCATTGTTATTCAGATCGTCCATTTTCTTCGATTGCTTGGCTCAGGGTCCAAAGTTAATGTTATTCTGGAACAAGGGGATGACATCTTTAATGCCGAGTGGACCTCCGCTTCTAATCTGGGCAGCAATGTAAATGGCATTGAACAAGCTGAGACTCTGCTGGTGCGGGTGTTGGTAGCGGTGCTCGCAGCAAGGGGAATCATGCGGAAGCCTGTGGCAGATGTAAGTCTTTTGTGCATCACAGTTTTTGCTATCTCAGAGGAGTCAGGACATTCTATGAAGGCTCTATCATAACTAAAGGTGCTTTTACACTCATACAATCATAGCCATAATTCTAAGCTAAACTTACCCTAACATTTTTCTTGTTTTCCAGCAATTTTCAAACTCTAGTCCGAGGTGAGTTCCTGCCCCTAATTTCAATGGCAAAATAACTCATTTCTGGCTTTTAGGGAGGTTTGAGTTGAACTGTTTAATTTTATGGTTACATTGATTTTATGCAGGGATGTTTGGTGGTGTGAAGAACACTGGATAAAAATAGAAAATGTCCTAGAGAGTAATTGCTATGGAATGCACTCTGTACTAAGATCAAAAAATTCACTATTTAAGCAGTTTAAGAGGGATATGAAAGCACTGAGCAATCTTCAACCCCTACAGAAGCTCCTTCAGTTGGGTGATGATGAGGTAATACATTATTTCTGTTCCGATTTCAGAAACAGCTCAAAGTTTGAATTAGCCAGCAATTTTGTTTTATGGTTTAATTGATGCTTCTTGATATTCAGGTGATGGACGGTTTGCACCTTCTTGGATGTGAGTCTGTCAACTGCAAGGTTACTCTGCAGCATGAAGATGACACCTTTAGTGCCGAGTGGTGCATACCAACCAACTCTGTTCTGAAGTCGTCTCCAATGGTATCCAATTGTGCTACCTGTGGGATTGTCTTGGCAGAGACTGTACTAGGGAGGGTTTTGGTCGAGGTTCTTACCATACAGGGACTTTTGCACAAGCAAAACATGGTAAGCTCTAAGATCATTGGGATTTTTTATCTTCTCTTTTCTGTTTCTTTACATATTTAAAATAATTTCTGCACACCTTTGACATTTTGTTGCTTTCTATTTCATTCAGGTTGAATCGTCAAGTGAACCACTCTGTCTTACTACCAGTGCTGGCATTAGTCCAACATCACACCAGCTTCCAGACAGTCCTTGTTCGTCAATCACTTTGCTGAACGAGGATGAAGTCCATTGCACCAGGCAACCACATGAGCTGAACTATGCTCCGAGATGGACTCCACATATTGTTTCCGTGACTTCAACCAGCTCAGACCCTGCGTCTGATAGTGTGCATGACCCTTTCTTAAACTCAATACAATTTGAAGAGGAGGAGAAAGTGAGGATCCATGACACGTTAATGGATGAAGAGTCAATGGATTGTGCAATGGAGCAAGAGCCAATGGACACTGCCACACCTCAAACTCCGGTAAAATATTCCCTAAGTATTAAAACGGAGAGACCAAAGCCATATTCTCGGAAAGCAAAACCAGCGTCAGCGAAAAATTCCCTCAAAATACCCAATAGGGCTAGGATGATGGCAATCAGCCTGAAAGGGCCTCAAGATGAGAAAATGAAAGCAGAAAAAGCGAAGGTGCTGCAGTTACTGGAAAGCGAAGAGAATGTAAGTGTGATGTCTCTCTAAATAGATTTTAGATGAACATTATCTTAGTGTCCCATTTTTTTATGTTGATTGTATTTGCTTCTGTCTAGATTTCAAATCTTTCGAAATTGTCTGGGCTTCGATGCAACATGGATGTGAACTGGAGTGCAGCGGTTTTGAAACGTGCCTCAAAGTGCAAAAAACTTCATCATGTTGAAGTCTTGTGGCCGCGCCGGGAGCACTGGTACCTCATACAGGAACTGTGTCTCCTGCGTCGGCTTGAAATTTACGCGAATGAGGAGCTGTATGAGAACGAGAACCCTCCCACAGTGATGCTCCCCAAAACCCATGCACTTCGGGTTGAGGCAATTCAGGTACACCCATATTTGTAGTTTCTTTCCTTTTTCTGTGTGTCCGGAAAGTACCCAACTCATGCTAATGCTAACATGGTTGCGCAGGCTGAGGGGCTGCACCCCGTCTCGCTGGCGTCCCTGCTGAAGGCCCACCGGGGGTCGCTGGTGCGCCTGGAGGTGCTGGTGGACCTGCCCGGGGAGTGCTCCGTGCCCAAGGACAGCGGCCGGCCGCTCAGCGACACGGAGCTCAGGAAGCTGCTGGAGCGCGCCCCGGGGACGCTGGCCTCCAGCCAGTCCAGCCAGGAGCTCAACGTGAGCACCAAGCTGGTGCGCGTGGCGCTGAGGAAGCCTCGCAACGTGCCGCTGCCGCCCGCCGAGGCCCTGCCCGCCTCCATGTTCCCCAAGGACTGGAGGCGCGTCGGCTGCGGCCGGTCCGGCCCGGTGCGCGGCCGACGGAAGAAGGACCTGTTCTGCGAGTACGCCGTGCCCGTGGAGGAGGACTGCCGCAGGTACGTCCAAGCCACCATCTCAACTTTTATCGGATGATACAGTTTATTCAAAGCAATCCTACGATGCCTTAATTTCCTTCGCAGTTATAAAGCTGATGCCTCGTAGACTTTTTTGAGTGTTTCAATTGTGTTCTTGCTTGACATTCAGGTACCCCAACCTGCAAGTTCTGCTGCTGTTGCGCCCAACAGAGAGCCACAACAGCAAAGCGTGCAACCCTCAAGTCGAAGCGCTGCGCAGGAAGTGGCCCTCCATGGTCATCACTTGCGGCAAAGGCTGTGAGAAGAAGAGGACGCAGACCCAAAGAGGATCTAGGGCACCAAAAAGTCTTGCTGATTCAGAATCCAAAGACGAGATAGAATTTTACTACAAAAGTATTGGAAGACCCCCCCAAAATAGGGGCCTTCTAGAAAATTACCTTTAAAGGATCTCCTAAATTTAAGATTTTTGTATCTATTTTTACTTTTTACATCACTCTATTATTTCTTCAATACTTCTTTCACTTTTTTCGTGTGTGTTATACCATGACAAAAGGACATATTTGTCTGATTGTGGTACAGAGTTGTCACTTAAGGCTGAATAGAACTCCCTATTATTTAGATTTTTTGAATGTAAATGTTTAAGAAGACTTGACTCTCTCGAGATGTAGTCATTATTTTTAATTGACTTTACTCTTATGTTTTGAAAAGATAGTCTTGAAAGTATTTTTATATTTTGATTCTTGCTTTGCTTTTTTTTGCAACGTAGTCAGTATTTTAAAACTTTGATAAATTGATATTTTTTTATCAATGTTAAACCAGCATTACTCTAATGTATTTGAGTTTATAATTGTTAATAAATTCGAGAATATAATTCTGTGTTCTGAATGAGCGCCCGAGCGGTAGGCAACAAAGCGTACACGGCGGTGAGGTGGTTTGCCTTCCCAATCTATTACCACTACCATTACGGGCTAGGCACTCGTCCCATGCAACAGCGAGCGTGGTCGTGGTCTGAGTCCGCGGAGTCGCGGGGAAGCTCGTTGACGGTGTAGCAGCGCGGGGGTGGCGTGCGCACAGGCCATGAAGGCCATGAAGGCGCGGTGGTGGAATTAGTCTCTCCTTGTTAGTCACTTTCAGCGCCAAACTCACAACTTTCGACGTCGCTGCGGAACTAGTGGAATGAGACACAGCCAACGAGGTTGACGACACGGCAGCCGAGGCCGCGCGCAACAAGAGCAGCTTCGTAAACGGGCATCAACAGTTTTGAGTCCTTAGCGTGCACCGTCTTAGATTTTTTTGACTTTCGGGTTTTATTTTTATTTTTGAGAGTAGCGTTGCACCCCATCAGCATCAGCGCCCCTCTGTGTCTCTCTCTGGGCAGTGGGACACAGTGGGACTGCCTGGCGGCCTAGCTGCCTCAGAGACACAATTACGCCATTTCGCCAACAGCCGACCCGAGGCGGCCGCCTCCCTTGGGAACGGGGTGTGGCTCTCCGATCGCTCGGCGACACTGCGACACTGCGAATACGGAATGTGGCAACGTTTGTCATCGAGACGCGGGCTGGGCTTGCAGGCGGACTCCGAGCGGTGATCTCGTCTCTCTCGCACTCGTGGGGCGTGCCGTAGGGAGAGACAGAGCGGGCCTCGGGCTCCGGCCGCCGCCTTGCCCAACGAGCGCGCGCTTTACTTCAGGTGGTATTTAAATCAGCCGCTCGGGGCACCTGTCTGTTTGCCGGATCGCGGACTTTGCGGAGTCGGACAAGGCGAGGCGACTAGTCTCGCTGCGTAGGTCTGCGCGCTTCAGGTGTGCAGCCCCAGCCCGCCCCTCCCCGCGGCCTGCCCAGCCTCTCCCCAGCTACTCCCCAGAGTGCGGACGCGAACCTGCAGCAGGGTGTGCCAAAGACCCACCCCGGCTTCGCTTGCTTCGCTCGGGACGGACAAAGCAGCCAAATAATTTACCTGGGACGTCGCTGGAGCGGCCTGGTTCCGAAGGAGCGTATCGCTCTGTCTCTGTCGCACTCGTGGGGCGTCCCGTGGGGGTGCGAGAGAGACAGAGCGACGAATCCTTGAGGCGCCGAGGCGGAGGGCCGCGTTTCATCGCGATAGAGATCCACGCAGACGCGTGGGACGCGGGCGCCAGTTACGGCGGTCTAGGCCGTCCGTCTCTCTCGCACTCGTGGGGCGGGCCGCAGGGGTGCGAGAGAGACAGAGCGTGATGGCCGGGCGGTGCAGCAGTGCAGCAGCGTCGGCCCGGCCCACTGAAAGGGAAACTGAAACTGATTTTCCGAGTGACAGGGTAATAAAGATGGGGAGTCTTGTTGCGGGGCCGGTCGTAAAATCTATAGGAATCGCGGTTCTTACGGCCGGGAGAGGGCTCTGTGCATTCTGTGCCCCACCGTCCTGCTACCTTGCCGCCACCCCGCCACCACCACACCCCCGAGTAGCCCGGACTGTCGAGGTCGCAGTCGCACCCGGCCAACTCACCTGCAGTGAGACAAGGAGTTGAAAGCCCGCTGTTTGAATGGCAACACCCAGGCGGGGTACGTTCATAGTTTTCCCTCTTTCCAGCAGCCCGATCTCCTTGTGAGATCCCAATTAGCAACAAAGCATCCTTGCAAACACTCTGTGAACCGCCGCCCCGATGGCTAATCTATGGGAACGCGCGCGTGTCTGTCTGTGTTCGTGTGTGTGCACGTGCACGTCGTGACGAGTCGAGTAAAGTGTGCCGAGCCGAGCCGCCGCCGCCCCTTCGGGCGCTTCGGGAGTCCTTCGGGAGAGGGTGAGGCTGGCGGGAGGCCTCCCGAAGGGCCCTGCGCCTCGGCTCCGCTTGGCGCGGCTGCGCTCGGCTCCACTCGGCTCCAGCTCGGCGGCTACCCGACCCGGTCCGCGACTCCGCGGCGCGCGGCGCGAGCGCGAGTTTCAGTTTTTTCAGTTCAGTTTGAGGTGAGCCCTCCCTCGGCAAGGACGCGCACGCCGACGCCCGCGTCCGGGACGAGCCTCGACGTGCTGAACCACGTGCTCTGCTCGGCCTGGGGGCCATGGGGGCTGACAGCCTGGCGACAGTGTGGTGACAGGACAGCGCGTCGCCGCGTCGCGGTGGGTGCGTGGGTTTCGGCGCCAAGCTCGCCAAGGGGGCGCCTGGCCCCGCGCGGACAATAGTGCGACAGAGAGGTCCGAGCTGGGCGGAGCGCGAAGCTGAAGCTTGCCGTGCGGCTGGTCAGTTCGGCGACGTCGCGCTTGGCGGAGGCACGGAGTGGCACGAAGCGTGACAGACAGTGACACTGCAGCGGCGTGGTTCAACGAGTGCGTTCAGTGATCAGTGTGTCAGTGACAGTCGGCGACTGGGGGTGCTTCAACGAGCC